GAATGGCCGGGCGCGGCAGGAAAACGGCCGCAGACCACGTGTCAGGGGCGAGAAAATGGCCGTGGACCACGTGTCAGGGGCGGGAAAATGGCCGCGGACCACATGTCAGGGGTGGAAAAATGGCCGCGGACCATGTCTCAGGGCGGAAAAATGACCGTACCCCGAGGCGGAGTTCGCACATCGAGGTAAATTTTTGCGGCCGGAGCTGGTCGTAACCCGAAAAGTCCGTTAGTAGAGGCGTTCGTATCCCGAGGTACCACTGTATGTGGTTCCTGAATCCCTTTCTTTGTAGGCCCAAAATCTAAAGCAGTCTAGTTTCCCACTGTGTTCAGGTAAAAGTGCACAGGAATTATAATATGAGTTTTAAAAAGCTATTGTAAAGAACTAAGAAATTTAAAGTTGCGGTGAGTCTCCCTTTCTTTCATTTATAAACTGGATGCAGATTGCATGATACCGTCAAACAAGAGTGGGACATCCACAGGACACTGTACTTTTGTCAAAATGACAAAAGTGACCTCGTACCACTGCACTGCAAGCTCTGTCTCTTTCATATATACATGTGATGTCATGACACATGTGCAAAAGGAGCAGGGCTTGTGTCATGATGGCATGATGCTGCTTTCATCATTTGATTCCCCCCTTGACCTCCCCTCTGGACATCTTGAACAAGACCATCCTCAGTAATATAACCTACAGCCTACTTATTTATGTACATCTTGTGCTGTCCCTAGAATACCTTTCTTGTTAGAATGAAACTGTTCAGCCTTGGTTATCCTACAACCCTCTTAGGGCCAAGCTGTATGTTACATAAAGCATATTATTCAGAAATCAGTTAGAACCTGGTAATTTCCTTTCTTCACGAAGAACAGCCATCGGTGTTGGTATTATCTTTAACAGGAACATAGCAGGCAAAGGTGATTTCCTTTGTCATATATCCATGGTCAGAAATATAAAGAAAGAAAAGTTGTCTCTGATAATTATGTCTCTTTGATAATTATGAACATTCTATATTAAAAGTTATTGATATAGTAAATTATCAGGTTACTCAGTTAATTGGAATGTCACATACTTCCTGTTACCTCTAATGTCTCTATGGAAATTGGTAAAATTTGGGGTTTCACTTGATGCTTGAATTGTTCTAAATATTTTGGAATAATTATCCCAAAGAAAATTCCTTCACTGCAGATGTAAATATATCCAACCATTTATCTCAGATTAATATTGATCTAAATAAATGGTTAACAATCCCAATGATTTTATGATTTTCTGCAGAAAGAGAAATTTTGAATATTGCTTTAAGACTGATATATCTACTTGGAGGGATTAATATTTTTAAGATATTTTGAGCAGATTGATAAATTCTTAAGAAAGTTTTTATGGAGAAAATGAAGCTAGATTATCTTAATTCAAATTATGACTATAAAGTGATGATGGGGGAGTGGTTAACTTCTTTGCGTTTCAGCATTATTGTAGCATACATTTTGACTTCTATTTCTTTGTGTAGTCCAAGTGATCAAGCCCCCAAAACACTATAAATACAATTAAAAAGTTATTATATGACCCCACTGATACCTTGTTTCCTTTTTAGTCAAATCAGTTGTATTTCTAGTATTTCTAGCATTAAAAAAAGTTTTGTTTGGAAGGTGATGGGATAGATGTATAATTTTAACCTTTGTTCACATAGGTTAAAGTTACAATCTGGCAAAATCAGAATTTGAAAAAAGTAAACCTGGCGTGTAGCCAAAAATATTATTCTTTTATGATGGTAAGACAGTGCTACTGAAGTTTATTATATTGGACCGGCTCCTTATTGATACACAGGAAAGTCTAATCAATATTATCTCATGTGGTCAAGGTTTCATGCTATGTTTAAAAACTGAGCTGTGCTTTATGATAATTAGTTTTTATATCTTTTGTTTATTTGGTTGTGGGTTTGGGTTTTTTAAAATCTTTTTTTTGTGAGATGTAGCAATTTATATCTTTTTTGCGAGTTTGTGAGATGCAGCAATTTGTCCATTCGGAATTTCACATACATTTGCATTATCAAGATGATTTGAAATTATTTGTTGGCTTGGAATAAGCTGAAGTGCAGATAAAAGAAATGATTTCTGCTACTGTTATCCAACTATTTTCATACTGAACAAGCATGAGAACTAAATTCGAATATACATACTAAATATTATGGGGTCTTCTTAATTTCCTAGCCTAACCTTCAAACATTCCCAAGTGGCCTAGCACGAGAATGTTCCTGTGTGAAGCTGACATTTGTAGGCATCCTTTTTTACATGTTCTAGCAAATAATCAGTTACAGCTAGTACTGCGTTTGGCCAGTTTGCAACCGATGATTGACTGGATAGTAAAAGATGTGGCTACAGGAGTGTTTTCCTTCCAGCAATGGAATAGTGAAGACTGCAGAGAAAAATTGAGAGGGTTAGTTCAAGTGTGAGCTGAATCTAAATCCACAGAAGTCAATTTAAAAAATTCCTGTGCTGTGTTAAGGATGGCCAGCAGAAAAAGAGATATTTACACATCGTCTAGATCATGGCGCATTTTCCCTCAAACAATATCTTTTCAGGGAATCTTTTCCATATTGGATTGTTCAGGCATCATATTAAACCATCTTTAATGTTCATATAATTCACAATCCTGACTTTATAGATATACGTTAACTTCAAGTTGAAGTTAGCTTGCTCCATAGTTAAAATTAACTATAGTTTAGGTTTCAGGCTGGAGATGGAGGTGGCAAAGAGCTGGGAAGAAAGGAGAAAAGCCATGGGGCTTTCAGCTCTCTATCTGCTGCCACAGCAGGGTAGAATAGGCAGTGGAGAACTGAGTATTTCACTGTCTCTGCTGTGCGTAACCCTGGGGACAGTGCCAGTAACCATGACTAGTTTAGTGGGACTCCCCTGTCCCTTTGTGGCTATTTTATAGGAGGAAAAGGGTGTGTGTGACACCAAGGCTCTCAAAAACCCGTTCTTATAAAGCTGAACTGTGTCTAAGCTAGGCCATTAACTGATTCCGGAGGAACTCATAGCCTTCAAATTCACTTGGTTTGATCGAAAGGAGGATTTAAGTTTACCCAACATTGTATGCGTATCGTTGTGATACTTTGGGAACCAGGTGGAGAGTAGCATCTCTCCCTGTGTTTATGCTTGCTGGAATATAATTTGAAGCTACTGCTGTACACAAGTGATCATCAGATGAATACTAATTGGCTGTAATAATCATATCTAGCTAGGCCTTTTGACTAAAAGGAACCAAGGGAGGTGGTTAAGGAAGTGTATTTTCTTGCCAAGTAAAATTTTGATTAGATAAAAAGAAAAAATATATACAGGAATAATTTTCTAGAGTTTCTTTTGCATGCTTTCTTTCTTTTCTCTGTACCTTAATGTGTCAATCATTCTGGCAAGTTTGTTTTGATTACATATACAGTATCTTTTGCTAAAGAGTCATATATAAAAGAAACCTACTTTATCTGTTTATAGGTTGTCAATACTCCTCATAAATACCCATCCGTCCACCCTGAGACCCGTCATTGGACCGCCCTGACATTTGCTGTGTTGCATGGACATATTCCTGTAGTCCAGGTATTATTGTATTTCCCTTTTGCTCCATCTCATGGTTTATTTCTCATTTTTAGGTTTTAATTGGCAATCATCCCATATTTGGCAGCCATTTTCATATTGGTTCCTTTTGCTACTTTCTTTGTTCTGCAGATATATAACATCTCTACTGTATACAACTACAAGTATAAAGCTGCAGTCCTAAGCATATTTACTAGAAAGTAGTCCTCATTAGATAGCTAGAATTAACTCTGAGAAACTTGCATCCAATTAAGGGCTAAATCACTGTGAAGTTTAAATAGGGCAATTAAAAAATGAAGTTATACCAATAATATCCTGTTGGCACTTTTTGCTCATTTTGACTATGCGTTTTAGGTATCTATTTACTGATTGTTTAAAAAATTATTGTAATGTCATAGAAAATGTTAGCTTCCTCTCTTTTCCTCCTTTTCCCCATCCTTGTTTTAAAAATCCACGGCCAAAAAGAATGGACATAAAAAAATAGAACAAATAATGCTGTAAGTATTTAGGAAATGCATTGAGTTGTTTTGGGGCTCTAAAAGCCCTCATCCAATGAGTTTCGTTGACTAAAACTTTAGAATTTCTTCATGCAGAATATTACAAAATAATGGGATTCATGGCTATGGGCTATGATTATAGCTCTAAGTTCAGATGATAAGATAGTTTCATAGAGGATAGGTTTATTAGTGGTTATTAGAAAAACTGGAAAGTAAGGTTGCTATATCTCTGATTACCACTTGCTGGGGAGAAGTAGAGAATGACTTCTCTACGATACCCTGTTTCTGAATTTGAGAATGGTATGTTATTGGTCACCTTCTGTTAGCTGAGATCCAGGAAAGCAGTTCTTAGATTAATTGTAGGTTAAATGTCAGCATGGCATTATGTTGTGGCAAATGGCTATGCTTGTTGAGTACGTTCAGTGTCAGCGTTCTATATGTTTTTCAGCCTTTCTTGTTCTCCTGTATCTCTTTGTAACTTAGAACTAACCACAAACACTTGGGTGCTTGAAGCAATGGACAGTTATGCTCTTCACCCACCTGCCCCCTTTGCATAGATAGAAGTGGACTGAACCAGCAACTGACATCACTTCATTGTTGGTGACAGAACAGTATCTTCGACCACACTGGAGGACAGCTAGCGTCCTCAATTGCATCTGAATACAAAATAATTCTAGCCTATAATAGAAGAGAATGGGTTTCATGTTCAAGCAGAACATCTAGAAGGCTTAATCCCACTTCTCAGCATCTGCCACTTGTTGTCTCACATTGCCTAATGGCAGTGCTGTTTTGATGGAACTGATAAGGAAGACTTACTGCAAGACCATCATAAGATGCTTATGACTGATACAGCCTTCAGTGCTGTTTATTTGCTGCACTCTCTTTGAATAACAAGATTCCTTTAGCAATGCAGTGATAAGCACTTTGTGCTTCCATGGCTCCTACAGAGGTGTGGCATCTCTGATACAGCACAAGACTTCTAAAATAAAGAAAGAAATGGACATTATCCATTTTAAAATGGTTACACTTATTAGACTGAGCTCTCAACTAATGATAGATAACGTACCTCAGTGGAGCACATAGTAGCAGCATAGCTTAGTCTAGAACCAACTAAATGTTTGTAGAAATGTTACACTTGTCGAATCCTCTTGAAATGTTATAGATTTTGAAGCTTGCATTGAAGGGACTATGGGAAAAACTCCAGAATAAATCAGAGTTGTTGGGGGCTGGGGTGAGTGGTATGGGGACAGTTCCTTTGGCAACCACAACAACAACATGGAATTGGGGAACATTTTCTTTGGCATCCACCCTAATAAGAATAAGAATATAAGTGGAAGATTGATCTTAGAATGGATAGTTATACTGTATTTCTGAATCTTTAGATTTTTTGAATGGATTAAAGGTTGTGGTGGTAGAGGATAGGCTGTGGCCTACATGTGTGATACCACTTCAGGTTCTTGAAGAGTGCTATCATATTTTTCAGCTGTGTTTTCCTCAAGCTTAAATATACTCATTTCCCTCAATCTTTCCAGTTAATCTGAGCTGAGGTTTCTCTGGTGGTGAAAAAATTGTTCAGTTGCTACTATTTGGTATGTTGCCCTCTCAAGACACTTCAGGGTAATTTGTGATAGTACCATTAATTGTTGTTTATTCTCATGATAGAATCCTTATGGGTCTGTTCCTCCTGAGATGTAGAGACATCGAAAAATGTTTTATTTCTGAAACTCTTTAACCTCTCCCTTTTGCTCTTTATAATCATTTATAGTGCATTATAAACATCTCCACCCTCTGAAGAATATATCACTCTGAAATCCTTTAGATTTCTCATAATATAAAATTCCGTTTATTGTGTGAAAATGGAATATTAGGTTATGTGAAAAGAGAAGATGTATGACTGAGGTGAAGTTCTAAGAACTCTCAAGAAGGACAGTTGCCATTGACTTTACCTTTGCAGGCTTTGTGAAAACACAATGGAAAACTCTTGGGAAGCCAATCATAGACTTGCTGAGACAAATATAAATCAAGTTGGTAAATTAAAAAGGCATGCAATAAGAGAAAGCTGAGAGTTGACCACTCAGTTTTGGGATATTCTTGGAGAAAAAAGAGGAAAGAATGGCTGCTGTAGCGGCCATTGTTTGGAGTGATGACTATGAGCATAGCATAGTGGTTCACTATTATAGCACCAAAATATTGCAAATTTACTATTGTGCATACCCAACTCTCTCAGTGATGGTGCAAAACAAGAATAGGTATTAGAAACAAACTGCAAACAAGTTGGATAACTGCATGTGGGACTCTACAGTTCATTTGACACACAGTATTAAAATCCAGTTGTTCTCATCACCTTTTCTCTTGATATGAAATGCTTTATTAGTGACAAGCAAGGATGACAAGCACCTTGTTTTGTGAACTGGCCCCAATTTGATGGCCCTTGACCTTGGGCTTTTCTACTTACTTATTTGCTGCTTCCAGATCCAGGCTGGAATATCCACTAAGTAACAGCAGAGAACTAGACTTTCTACATCACTTTGCTGGTATCTATTGGTCATCTGGGTTTTTGCAGCCCATATGTGATACTAGTATTTATGTATTTTGCAGAATGCAGCTGCTTCAGCCTGGGCACTTCCAGATGTTTTGGGATTGCAGCTTCTGGGGCTGCAGTATAATGGATCTCAGCACTGGGTTGGAGAAGATTGCCCTTCAGCATTGGATGAGCATTGTAGTTCTTGTTTAGAAATTTAAATCAACAACATGGATTTCTTTTATAGCTGCTACTGGATGCAGGAGCCAAAGTGGAAGGTTCTTTGGAACATGGTGAAGAAAACTATTCAGAAACTCCCTTGCAACTGGCAGCAGCTGCTGGTAAGGATCATCTTATCATAATACCTTAGTTAATATTGTTTGATTGAAGAGAATAAGAAGCAGACTTTTTAAAAAGGCTTTCACTGTTACTGATTCATAGGAAATTTTGAACTGGTTAGTCTGCTTTTGGAGCGAGGTGCTGATCCTATGGTTGGAACAATGTACAGGAATGGAATTTCCATGACTCCACAAGGTGATATGAACTCCTTTAGCCAGGCTGCTGCACATGGACACAGGTACAATTGATATGCTTTTAGTTAAGTGGTTAAAACAATTGTTTGTATGGGATGTTTAAAATGTATGAACTGCATTTCTATCATGTACATTAAGATTCACATAGATAAATTTGCACTGCCAATTTTTTCATTAAAAATTTATCCTTTATTTGTGAACGGCTGTCGTCCATGAAAACTAAATGGAAATAAAGAGATAGTATGTCTGACAGCTGCAATGCAGGAACAGACATTGCTGAGATGCAGTTGAGTGGCAGTGAGATACAAGCTGGAAGCTGGCATTAAAACAGGCCAAAAATCAGAACAGCCAAGAGTCAGTAAGAGTGTTATTGTCCAGGCAAATTCTTACCCTAAATGCTTAAAGTATCTATTTTACCCTTTAAATCTCCTGCCAAATCAAGTTGAGTTTCCCATTCGGGGGAGGTTTGAGGGGCAAGATCAGTTTTTTAAAGTGTAAGGCACTCATTTTGCTCCTTAAATTATCCTAAAACAAAACATAACCAAAGAATTTAGCTGCACCCTCTTCTATTTTATAATGATATCAGTTCTGAGGCCTCCAGACTGGGGACAAAGACAGAATTGGCCTGCAAGCCAAAAAATTGTCCACCTCAATCCAGGATCTATCTAGGACAGGGGTAGAACTTTAGCTGTCCAGATGTTAACAGGCTGCAACTTGTGTCATCCCAGTCCATGGGCTATGATGTCTGGGACTGATGTGTTAGGAACCAAAAACATCTTGAGGATCACAACTTTCCCCCACTTGATAATTGTATCAGCTTTGTAACTCTGCTGCTCTGTCACCTGAAACAGCCTTGCAGAAGCTCCTTCCAATGAAGTTTCAGTGAAAGGCAGACAGAAGTATTTCTGGAGTCTGTACCATTGCAGTAGAGAGAAGTCTCAAACAAACTCCCAGTTCATATATATACAACTTATATAAAGCATTAGGAGAGGAATATGAGATACAAGGCTTGCTCGGGAAATAGTCCAGACATCGTTCAGTATAAAGATCTGGTGGAATCTCAAGGAAAAACATAACAGATCTGCCAGTTTTGTTGAAAGCAGCCATGGTAGAACAGGGAACTAGTGAAGCATTAGGCTAGTAACACACTTCCTGATGTGAATAACAAAGTGTGGGAAAGAACAAGAGACAGCTTGTGAGAAAATTATTCAAGTTTAAGACAGGGAGTAACCATGTGTATATATGAATCAGAAAGACATGAACCAGTTCACAGATGATTGTAAATCACTTTGTTACTAAGCACTTAATGAATGAGGTGTCTAAAGATGCCATTAAGTTATACAGAATTTGTGTCTGTGCTGCTAAACCTGGATATCTTATTTGTACATACAAGTCATCCCTTGATGATGCAATCATTGAGTGATAAATAATTGTGTAGAATTATGTCTTAGAGAGCAAAGGGTAGTATTTCTGTATCAGGGACAAGGGGATACATGAACTGAGGGTACAAAAAAGCCCATTGAAAGGCAGCTGTCTATGATTTGTGATAACAAAGGACTGAACAGTTCTTTCCAATGTTTGTCATGTACCAAGATCTTCTCCCATTATGCCATTATATTCTTTAGCTTTAAAAATCCAGGAACTGAGTTGACTCTAGCTATTGTATTATATATTACAGATTTGTGTGCCTTTGAATGGGATGCACCTAGGCACCTATCCCTCTGGGATATAATCACATAGCTTAGCACCACCTTCCACTGATTGATGCCATCCAGATAAGTTGAATTACAACTCTCATAATTTCAACAACCCCAACATTATTTTGCAAATGGCTTTGTGTTTCCATTTTAAAAATAAGATGGATGGGTAGGTGGATGAAAAGAGAAATTCTGTTTAAATTTGGAAATAACATCTCACCTGAAGTTTGGATAGGAGAGAGGTTAGATCAGGGGCAGACTCAGCCTTTAACTTGAGGAATCTGTCATAAGTCACCCAGATGCTGAGTAAAGAACTCATTGTAGCAACTCTTTAAAAGCAATGCCTGTCTTCACTTGGAGAATTCTGGAATGCAGTTATCATCAGAGGTATCAAATGTTTCTCCTCTTATTGCATAGCATAATAGCCACATTATTGCAGATAGCAAAATAAAGATCTTCCTCCCCCTCTAAACAGACCAAAACACACAGATACACACACTCATTAGCCCATTTGCTTTGGATACATTGCTTATTCTATCCCCCACAGGACTGAACATGTGCAGCTAGCAAGATGTAAGCGTATCAGGTAGGTGGGAGGTAAGGGAGAAGATACATGCTGGGTTTGATTGCTTGTTTCTAATGATTTGTTCATTGGGAACGACTCCATTGAATATTAATGGCATCCTACAGATGTAAGCCTGTTGACGGACAGGATATGGAGTTTTTGAATTTTGGACTTGCTGCTGTAGACTCATGTGTACTGTACTAAAAAGAAAAGAAAACATAGCTTTGTTTACTAGAAGATCTAGTTGGATGAATTAAGCAGAATTAGCATTAGCTAGATGGCTAGTTAGGTTCTGCTTCACTGTTAACAAATCCAATATGGTGGCCTCTCCCTTTTCTCTCTTTTGGTTTGTGATTGACAGGAATGTGTTTCGTAAGCTACTTGCTCAACCAGAAAAGGAGAAGAGCGATATCTTGTCCCTGGAGGAGATATTGGCTGAAGGAACTGACTTGGCAGACAGCACTCCTGCTCCTTTATGTGCAAACCGCAACAGCAAGGCCAGACTGAAAGCTCTGAAAGAGGCAATGTATCACAGTGCTGAACATGGATATGTAGATGTAACCATTGACATCAGGAGTATAGGTTAGTTTGGGTTTCCTTTTTCATGAGAAATGACTAATCGGAAAAGTGGTTTGATGTAAGAGACCCTTGTCTATTGAACTGACAGTTTTTGATCTGCTCTTAAGTTCTTGTCAAAGCAGTAATCAGGCAACTGATAAACATGTCTAGGAATACTGAAAATTTAAATGTTAAAAATGGCAAGTATATATTTTTAATTAATATGGATTTCTTATATGAGAGACACTACTGCTCTCCCCCCAACCCCCCGCTCATAAATTTGTAAATACTTATATTACTGTGGGCTTGCAGGGCCAAAGCAAAGTATATTTTGCTCTTGGCCAAGGAACTAAGACCAGCAGAGACCACTTTTACAATTATGACTATGGCAAAGGGGAAGCAGTTAGGTCCCACCCAGGAAATAAAGAAGGAGTTGCTGTCGACTTGGAATGTGTACATATGGAGATGATCACAATAAATTTTAGCTTGCCTTGACATTCATTTGCTCAAAAGACAGTAATCAAATCTATTAAACTGGGTAAAGAATTGTGGCCCTCAATATGTTGCTGAACTACAGGTTCCAACTTTCTTCATCATGTTGGTTGTGATTCCTGTAGATAGTAGTTCAGCAGCATATGAAGGGCTGTTGGCTAGTCATCCCTTTCCTAATTAGAAGTATTTAAAATAAACAGGTGTGTATGTTTTTGAAAAATATCATACAGATTTCAGTAGTATAGCACTCTGCTTCTAAGCAAATGCCCCAGCCTATCCTAACAGATGACAAACTGAGGTGCTTACTAGGTAGTAAATCTCTGGAAGGAGGGTACTTTGACTTTGCAGTCTAGAATCCTTCCACAAGTAGCAAATCTGGCTCAATCCAGTTCCTCTTTGAAGAGCAGAGGAGCTGATTTTAACCCTGGGAATGAAATTGACTAGGAACTGCTTATGAAAAATTTGTTTGAATGAGCAGGCTGGATGCTTGGACAAAAACAGAGGCTGAATATGTCCAAGAAAAACAAAGAAGACAGCTGGAAGGAAGAAAAATAGTATATGCCCATTTTCAGAGCAATGCTTTTTCAAAGGATACGATTCAACATATCTGCAATTCAGAAATACCCATATATAGCATCTGTTAAAAGCATACATTATCCAACAACATCAATAAGTACCCTAAATTGCATGCTTGTCAGAAATTATAGTTATTTTTGCAATGAATTTGAGATATTAAAATAGGCCAAAAGAAGATCAACATAAAACATCTTCTCTTATTAATATCAAAGAACATGTTGCTACTCTAAAATCGGCTTTCTCAACATCAGCATCTCAGAATTTCTATTAGTCCAATTCATGAGTTATTTGTGTGAATAGGGAACTGGTAGTAAAAAGGAAAATGGAGCTCACTTAGCCCTACCCTAAATGTTGTTCCAGTTCCACTGTTGCTGTTTCTGGGGCTCCTCCTACTTGTCAGAGGAAAGCTTCTTAAAATGGGGAAGATCATGATGTCATTTGGAACCCTGATCATTCAGGATTCCAAATTGTGACATTCCACCAATATAGGAGTGACCCTGCTCTTCTTTGCAACAATATAGAGAGTATGGCAGAAGCAATGATAGAGGTGAGAAGTGTTGCCCCAAGCTCTGCAAACCACTTTGTGTGAAAAATCATCCAGGCAGGCAGTAGGCAGTTCTTACCACCACAAAAGGGTTACATAAAGCCTCAGCACTAGGTGTTCCATATGGAATTTGTCCTGTCTTGTTTATTGGGAGGAAGAAAAGGGTCTGTATATCCATTTGTACCCCTTCATGGATCACTGCCTTGTCGTGGCGAAGGGGCTTGCGTAACTCAGTGA